CACCCACACCCACCCCACCCACACCCACACCCAAAAACTCCATAGAATCCTGTTTCGCCATCATGAACAGCCAATAAAAGTGGATTTTCAGGAAACAGATTTGAGATATAGAAAATCTGATTATACAAATCGACAGAGCTCGTCGGGTTGTACTTGGAAAGAAATAGAGATGTTGAAACAAGTCTATGGACGAATTCCAGAATAAAATACTCGAATCAATAGATAACTTTACCGATGTTTATTAATAATAAAACCTACAGTAAATTGAATAATGTAACTACATCATGTGTTAGATTTAGGCAGAGTTTCTTGTAATGTTTAATAAAGTGTATTTTCATTTTCAAAATAGTTCACTGACAATCATCATAAACTGTTTTGACGAAGCATTTTATAATAAATTCCATGTCGTTGTATCAATTCCGTATGAGTACCACTTTCCACTATATGTCCGTCATCAATTACGCAAATCAAATCACATGAACGAATAGTTGAAAGACGATGAGCAATAATGAGTGATGTTCGACTAGAATCTTCTTTTTGAGCTTGTTCAAGTGCTTCTTGTACAATCTATAATTGAAAAATGAAGATGAATCTTTTATTAATAAATAGAAACAAGCAAACAAGCTTACTTGTTCATTGTATGAATCCATGGCACTTGTAGCTTCATCTAAGAGCATTACTTTAGGTCGACGAAGAAGAACTCGAGCAATAGCAATACGTTGCTTCTCACCACCTGATAGAAAGCTACCTTTCAATCCTACTCTTGTTTTATAACCCTAAAACAAATATCATACAATATTAATAGATAAATTATAATTTTGTATTATTTAACTTGAGGCAATTGGTCAATAAATTGATGAATATTAGCTCTAGTTGCTGCATTGATAATGTCTTCCATTGAAACATTTTCTAAGCCATATGCTATATTTTCAGAAATTGTTAAATCGAACAAGATTGGTTCTTGACTTATAAGACCAAAATGAGAACGAACCCATTGTAAGTTTAGTTGTCGAATATCAACACCATCAAGAAACTACATTGAATGGACAAATATGATATGATTACTTAAATTATATGTTGAAGAAATACTAACTAATTGACCACTTGTAACATCATAGAATCGTTCCAATAGTTGAATAATTGTTGATTTTCCGCATCCAGATCTACCTGTATCGATCATATTATATAATTAACATTTAATTAAAAGAGAAATTTCACTTAAACATACCAACAAGAGCCACACGTTGACCTTATTAGTGAATAAACATTTCTAGTAAATTGATTAAATCGAATCCTATCTTACTTACCTGGCTTGATATTCAATTGAAGTCTTTTAAGAATAATAGATGTTGGCCGAGTTGGATAAATAAATTTGACTTGATCAAATTTTATCTCTCCACGAAAATCAACCTACATGAATCATATTGTACCCATAGTATATGCACGATGGAAAGAAAATAGTTATCTTATATGTTTTCTTACCAATTCTTGTCCTTCAGTAGATGCATTGTCGATAGTTGGTATTCGATCAAATAAATCAAAAAATGCTTCAGCACCCAAGATTGTTGAAGCGATACGGCTAGATCTAGGATGGCAACAGTAGAAGAATAAAATCGAAGTAGAAATTGGGAGTGTTACATCATCGCCATGATTCTTAGCATTTCGAGCGCAAAAATAGCAAAACCAAAGACCCTAACAAATTGAAAAGATAATGAAACATTGTCTCTAGATTATCAAACAGTGGTATCAATTACATTATTATACGATTCAAGCTGAGTTCGTTCTTTTCAACAAGGACGAGAGCACGCCAATACAAAAATGCCACAGTGTATACATCTAGTGCCCAGTATAGGCCAAATGCTATTGAATTTAGTATTATAGGTTTCCAAGACAATCTATGACAAAATAAGATTGATTAGAAATTTATACATGTATAATATTGGATTGACCAACATAAATATTTGATGAAGAAGTTCAGAATATTGTCGTAAAACTTCCTTTTCTATCGACAACTGTTTTACTGTACGCATATTATGAATAACTTCAACAGCAAGCTGTAGAAGTAAAAAACAGAATGAATGTAATATATTCGATTTATTAAACAATGCATGACATTCTACTTAGGGCAATCCAAAAGTAGTGGCAGTGGTACTGAGATTCATTATAAAGAGCTTTAAGAAACTTTCTTTCTATATAGTCTGCTAGAGAAAAGCATGCTCTGTTTTTCTATGCTATTTGATCATACTTCAACTAATATCATAATAATAAAATTTTGATAAACCCTTTTTTTCTATCATATGGGATGGTTATACTAATGTCTATTTAGTGGATGTGTTTTGGATAACTTTTGATAGAAATAAGGTAGAGAGCTACAGTTTTCATCGTTCGAAAGAAGAGATGCAGATGCATCGAATATTTTATTATAGATTTTTTAACATGACTTTTTTAAGGTTTTCAATAAACCTCTTTGTAAACAAACCTACTCAGTTAGATGTTTGCAACGAATTCTTAATTGTCAAGTATGTATTCAAACCGTCAGTGGAAGGTGTTCAAATCTGAACAAAGTTCAGATGTTTAGAATTAATCATTCAAAAGTTATAAGTATTCTAGTCAAAGTTCTAAGTGATTTTTCTGTCAATGTCTGTAAAGAAAAAGAATTTTTTTGCTATTTCTTCTTCGATAAGAAACAATTTATCCATATTTAGAAAATTGATTAAACAAACCTCAGGCAACATACTAGAAAAACATGTAATATATGATTCGATGCATCTGCATCTGCACTTTCGAACGATGAAAACTGCAACTTTCTACCTTGTGTCTATAAAAAGTTATCCAAAGCATATCCACTAAATAGACATTAGTATAACCGTCCCATATGATAGAAAAAATGGCTTATCGAAACTTTATTATTGTGATATTAGTTGAAGTATGATCAAATAGCATCGAAAAATAGAGAATTCTTTTTTCTATTAGATTATATAGAGAGGAGGTTTCTTAAAGCTGTTTATAATGAATTACGATACTGCCACCACTTCTTTTGGATTGCCCTAAGTAGTTTTCTGTACACAAAAAGATTATTAGTTAAAGCCTAATTTTACCGCGCCTGCTCGTTCGAGAATTTGATTGGTTCGTTGATTTACCCATAGACGTAGCCGCACATCTCCAAAAGTAACTAGGGCTAGGAGAAAAAGAGGAGAAAAAACGATTAATGTTAATTGCCAACTTAAGAAACATCCAAATAGGATTCCCAAAAACACCAGTGCGATAGCTTCACAAATGGCTCCTAATCGAGTACCAGCCATCTCTTGAACGGCTGATGCATCAGAAGAAAGACGAGTACAAATCGCACCAGAACTGTTTTCAGGTCGATCAAAATAAGCAACTTCTTGACGAAGAAGACATGCAAAGGCTTTCGAGCGAATACGCTGCGTCAACCTCGATCCTGATATGGCAAAAGCTGTATACTATAGAAAAGAGTAAATAAATCATTGATCAAATTCAGAAGCAGCATTTTTACTTGAAAGAAATGTAAAATCCATACAAGGGCACCCAAAAGAAAAAAAAGCAAACTGGTAAGCAACACATGATGAGTTCGTTCAGAGTTTGAACAATATTTGAATGCCTACAGAATAAACAAATCGACATAAAAGAATGTATATTGTCAATCTATTTGCACGATAATTATATGAGTCGCTCACTCACATCGACTATTTTGGCAAGTAAAAATGTGAACAATGGTTGAGCGGCTCCATTAAATACACATGCTATACAACCAATCAAGATGGTGATCCATTCAGGACTATTCATTGACAATAGTCTTAAAAAGACAAATCTTTTTCTCCATGGCTTTGAACTTTGCTAAAAGAGAGATTATCATTATTGGTTTTTATAACTAATTACAGTAGTTTTTTGTACTTTGTTCATATCAACAGTTTGAATATCGCTAAGTAAACGAGAGCGTTCAACTGTTAATTAAAAAACAGACTAAGAAAATTGAAGACTATACTATTAGAATATTAACATACATATCGACTGTTTATCATCTTCTCTTGCTTTTTCTATGCTCATCTGATCATCTTGATCATCATGGATTCTTTCTATTTGTTGTCGTTTGACCATTGCTTGATATTTACCTCCTTCTTTTGCCATTAATGTTTCATGTGTACCTTGCTCAATCACACTTCCATTATCTAATACATATATTTGATCAGCATTTTGAATTGTAGTCAAACGATGAGCAATTACAATAGTTGTACGACCTATATATAATGCTATATTAATACGATAAGCAGAAAAAACAATTGTTACCTTCGCATGCTCGCTCGAGTGCTTCTTGAACAATTTTTTCGCTAATATTATCAAGTGCACTTGTTGCTTCATCCAATAAAAGAAATGTTGGCTGTTTGACAAGAGCACGAGCTAATGCAATACGTTGCTTCTCACCACCACTTAACTGCATACCACGTTCACCAACAAGTGTTTCATATTTCTAAACAAGAAATAATGACACGTATATTTAGATGACGACTAATATTTGGCACAAACATTAGGTAACTGCATGATGAAACTATGTGCATTTGCTTCTCGTGCTGCTTGTTCAATTTCTTCTCGTGTTGCATTTAGTTTACCAAAACGAATATTTTCATAAATACTTGCACTAAATAGAATCTATTGCAATAGTGAATTATATAGAAAGGGAGACACAAAAAAAACTCAAAAAACCCATACAGGTTCTTGACTAACAACTCCAATGTTTTGTCGAAGTTGTTTGACATTATAGTCTGTTATCGACCGACCACCGATTGTTATTCGACCCAATGAAGGTTCATAATAACGAAGAAAAAGTGATATACATGTACTTTTTCCTATGAACAAATTATGAACACAAATGAGATCATTTTAACATCTTTGTTTTGGAAAAGACTTACCACAGCCACTTGAACCTACAAGAGCAGTCGTCTGACTAGCACGAGCGATAAGAGAGAGTTTATGCAGAACTGGTGTATCTTGTCGAGATGGATAAATAAAGTTAACATTGTCAAATTCAATATCACCATTGATATTATAAATTGATTCTTTATCCTCTTTCCATACATCTGTTTCATTGACATTTATGTCATTTCCCTAAATCATGTAAGCAAATAGAGAACATTGCTGTCAATATAAGATCTGAATTTATTCGGATTTACTTCGTCAATAAGTCGAAACACTGATGCTGCTGCACCTCGAGCTTCTGATAATGATTGAAGGAAAGGAGCAATAAAAGTGAAGTAGCCCATAAATTGTGCAAAGAGAGGGACGATCTGCATTAAGACAGTAGTCGTATATTCATTTACTTTTTGACTAATGATATGAATTACTCACGATAAGAATATCAATAATATTCACACTATGATAATCTTTGCTTGACTTAAGAAGAGAACCAAAGATAAAACCAACTCCATAAACTAGATAGGTTGTCAGAGATAGCCATCCAAGAAAAGCCCCATATATCGCACCTTGGCGAATACTACTCCAACGAGTTGAATACAATTCTCTTTCATATCTAGATGCAATCGAAACAGTAACATGTTTTATGATATCAAATAAGTTAACTATTTTAATCTATTAGTTTACCGTTTTTGCTCAAATTTGCTACCATTGAGAGAAAGAACAGTTCGCAGTGAACTAAACACTTCTTGAACGATTTGTCCTGCTTTTGAATATGCCATTAACTCCTTCATTGCTTGTTTAGCGGTAAACTGTGCAAATTCATAAGGATTTAATTAATTGAACAACACTTCATACCTTAGAAAAAACAAATGCACTACCAATGAGCAAAGGTAACAAAAATAGCATGACCAAAGTCAATTGCCAGCTGATAACGAAAGATACTATGATATAACCAAAGATGTCGAGAAACGATGACAGTGATAATAAGAATTCAAAACCAATGCCTTTTTCGATCTTCACAATGTTACTGTACAAGAATCGAATCAAATGGATTAATTGATATGAAATATCATAATAGCTTACTCCAATAGATTAGCATTGAACTGACTAGTCGGGTTGGTATCCATATAAGAAATGCTCTAAAAACAGATTGAAAGAAAAAAACAGTCAGAGTTAGACAAATTCGACTCCATCTGCATTTTCTAAATTTCAACTCAACTGCAATTTTAGGTTCTTTGAAAATTTTACTGCAACTCTAACTGTAAAATGTCATGTTCTACTAGATCTTTTTTAAACAGTTGAAACCTTTTATGTCTACTTCTGCAATCGGTGTTTTTACTGTCAGCTTTTATATTTTCACTTGACAAGTTACCCGGTCAACTGAAATTCAATCGTGAGTGAGAAAACTTTATCACATCTAGACATGTACCGAGCTCGAATAGCTCGGATTCGATCAGACTCGGGCTCAGTCAGGCTCGGTCTGACTAGGGCTAGGAATGCACCAGTCAAGACGAACTGGTTACCCAGTCCGACTGAGTACTATCCAGCTCTACTGAATATCGAGTAAACTGACCTAGAGTTGATTGGATAATAAGTATTTCTGTTTTTGACCAAAGCTTTTCGAGATTGAGAAATCTGAATCTCCAATCAGTTTCTCGGAATTGTTCACTTAATTTTTCCACTAAAGAAGGGTTTTTTAAGAAAATAATGATTTTTTTATAAAGGTTGACCAAAAGCTGTCGGAGTCGAAGAATTCGAATCTGTAATCAGTTTCTAAAAATTGTATACTTGATGTTCTCACTAAAGAAGGAGTTTTTAAGAAAATAACTATTTTTAATAATGTTTGACACAAAGCTTTCGGGGTCGAGGAATCCGAATCTCTAATCAGTTTCTAGAAATCGAATACTTGATTTTTTTTTGCTAAAGAAGGGGCTTCTTAGAAAAAAAAACGACTTTTT